CTGTATTTATAGCTCTGATTCTGCTTTTTGTTCATTTATTCATTTGTTTTGTTTTGTTTAGATTCCACCTATGAATGAAATGATACAGTACTTGTCTTTCTCTACCTGAGTTATTCCACTTAGCATAATGTGCAATAGGTCCATCCATGTTGTTGCAAATGGCACACTCTCGTTCTTTCTATGGCTGAGTAATATTCCATTGTGCGTACATGCCGCATTTCATTATCTATTTGTCTATCGGTAGATACTTGGGTTGCTTCCATGGCTTGGCTATTGTAAATAATGCTGCTATAAACATAGGGGTGGATGTGTCTTTTCAAATTACTGTTTTTGTTTTCTGTGGGTAAACACCAAGCAGTGGAATGATTCGGTCATATGATACTTCTACTGCTAATTTCTTGAGGAACTTCCATACTGTTTCCAGAGAGGCTGCACCAGTTTGCATTCCTACCAGCAGTGGAAGAGGGTTCCCCTTTCTGTGCATCTTGGCCAACATGTGTTGTCTCTTGCATCATTAATTTTAGCCATTCTGACAAGTGTGAGGAGCTATCTCATTGTGGTTTTGATTTGTATTTCCCTGGTGATGAGTAATGTTGAGTGTCTTCTCATGTCTGTTGGCCATCTGGATGTCTTCTTTGGAGAAATGTCTATTCAGGTCCTCTGCCCATTTTTAACTTAGATTATTTGTTTTTGTTTTTGTTTTTTTGGTGTTGAGTTGTAGGAGTTCTTTATATATTTTGGATATCAACCCCTTAGCAGCTGTATCATTTGCAAATATCTTCTCCCATTCAGTAGGTCAACTTTTCATTTTATTGATGATTTCCTTGACTGTGTAAAAATGTTTTATTTTGATGTGGTCCCCATAGTTTATTTTTGCTTTCGTCTCCCTTGCCTTAGGAGACATATCTAGAAAAACATTGCTACAACCAATGCCACAGAAATTACTGCTTGTGCTCTTGTCTAGGATTTTTATGGTTTTAGGTTTCACATTTAGGTCTTTAATCCATTTTGAGTTTATTTTTGTTTATGGTGTTAGAAAATGGTCCAGTTTCATACTTTTCCATGTAGCTGCCCAGTTTCTCACACCATTTATTGAAGAGACTGTCTTTTCCCTATTGTATATTCTTGCCTCCTTTGTCACAGGTTAATTGACCATATAAGAAAATTGTGTTTCTATTTCTATAATTAGTTATTTACCACCTCAGAAATTTTTAGGAAAAAAAAACAGTGAAATATAACAACATTTGAAAACAATGTTCTCTGCTTTTAGAAATACTCCATATTTCAATAGGAAGGCTAAAAATTTATCCCCTACAGCTGCCAAAAAAAAAAAATAGAGCTCAAAGAAATTGACCAAACCAATATTTGAAATGGCTTTATTATATTTTTCATTTCAGTTCTTGTGCTTTTCAACTCTAGAATTTTCATTTGGTTCTTTTTTATCATTTTTTCCTCTATTGAGACTCCCTATTTGTTAACTCTTTATTAGCATATTTTCTTTTAATTTATCAAATAGAGTTTCTGTCACTTCTTGAACAAATTTATAATACCCCCTTCAAAGACATTCTCTGGTAAATCCAACATCTGTGTCCCCTCACAGTTTCTAACTGGCTACTCTTTTCCTGAGTTTAAGTTACACTTTCCAGTTTCTTTGTATGCCTGGTAAATTTTGGTTTAAAAGTAGACATTTTAGACAATATTTTATATAATATGTTATAATAACTCTGACTTGTTTTATTTTTCTGAGAGTTTCTCTGGTTGCTTTGTCTGGTGTTTAGTAACTTGTCTGAATTTAAGCTGTAGAATCTGTTTTAACCCACCCCCAACCCACATCATCCCCCCCCTAACTCCCAGTATGCAGCTGGTGACATCTCTTCAGATGTTTAGGTCTTATGTTTATACTTTAGCCCCACTTTCTAAAGGTACACTCTGGGTCTGAATAGCTTGGCAGTTGGCCAAGTAATTTGTCTGCCATTGTGTTCTAACAACTGAGCCCACAATGCTTCCACCCTCTGCTGGATGAACTGTGCGTGGTTAAGGAATACGCAGCCAGTTCTCATGTTTCCCTGGGCTTTCACTTTTCTCCAGGATCTTCTGGGCCTCCCCAGTGTTTTTATTTGGCCATCCACTGAGGAGGTATGGAGAACTTATCTCAGAATTTCTGTGTTTCTCTGATTTCCAGGGTCGCTCCATTACATACCTGGCTATAAATCAACATTCACTTCAAAGCAGAACCTCAGCCTTGGGCTACCAAAGCTGGGATTTACCCCCCCACCCCCATAAACCAAGTCTGTCACTTATTACTGGCAAATCTGTGGGTTTTCATCCTTTACCCTTTATTCTTCACAGGTGTTACCCCTAGTAAATCTCTTGCACATTTAATTCCATACTGGCATCTGCTTTTCAGAGGACCTAAATGGACACAGTTGGTGGCATAGTTAAATGGATCAGCTTTCCAGTTTTCACTGATGAGGCATCCAAACTTGAGTTGGATGATCTGGAATCATCCTCATTCATGAAACCGGGACTGCTCTGGAACCAGCAACTCATCTCTGTCCAGGTCTACTGGCTTAAATCAAAGATATTGCTCAATGCCTGAAGGAACCCAGAAGGAAAAGTCTTCCTGTGGGAAGGGATGAGGCAATCATATGGGGGAGCATTTGAATTTAGTCAGTTTTCACCAGTCTGTTGTGGGAAAGCTAGATTAGGACCCAAGGGAGGATCCACAGGGAACATCCGGGCGAAAGCCTGAGCCAAGAGGTAAAAAGGGGGCATATTCCCAACAGCCTTCTAAGATTTCCTAATTGTATTCAAGAACTGAATTTAACTGCTAGAAGTAGAAACCTGAATACGTTGGCTAAAAACACAATGGTTTGTTCTCTCGCATAAAACAAGCTCACAGATGGTCAGACTACTATTTGTGTGACAACTCCACAAAGTCCTCAGGGATCTAGGACCATCTCTTGTGCTCAGCCATTCTCACCATGTGGCTTCTGTCCTTAAGGTCATCCCATGTTGCAGGGTAGCTGCCGACACTCCAGCCATTATGCATGCAGTCTAGGAAAGCGAATGGAAGGAAAGCAAAAAGGCTCTCCCCCAAAACTGAGTAAGCTCCTTTAAAGACATTTCCCCAAAGTCGCATACACCACTTCCACCAAATCCTGTTGGTTAAAACTTGATCACAACAAAAGAGAGCATAAAGCATAGTCCTTTATTCTGTACCCAGGCTTCTGTTATTAAACAGAAGCCTGCCACAATGATCTTTCAGTTTAAAAGATCTACGTTGATCTAGTTGAAGTTGAACAGCATGACCAGAAAGAGAGAGGATCTTGGGGTAACATTTTTCCTTATGGCTCCCACAAGAGAGAGACAAGAGGGCAGATTGAACCCGTTTTGTGAACCATGCGATAGAATCCTCCATGACCAACATTTGTCATACAAGAGTCAACTCACTACTCTAGAGACCCTGGAAAGAACTCAGACATGAGACTCCATGGGATACAACTTCGTCATTTTTCTACATGTCATTGAAGACTTATTTTTTGTTTTGAATAATAGCAATTGGAAGGGCTCAGCCATATCTCATTTAAAAAAGGGGAGATGGTTCTGTTATAAACTTCCTTAACCAGTGTAGTCTTGCATGATCATGGCTCCCGGGCTTACCCCCAAGAATGTACCCAGTGTTTTAAAATAGCATTTTAACAAAATACAATCAACCAAATTGGCTATGAAAATCTACTAAATACAAACTCAGATTTGGTAACAGCCTCTCTTACACACAAACACACACACACACACACACACACACATTCTAGTGATGATCTAGAAATCATCCCAGATCTAGAACTGACTCTGATAAACCACAGTTGCAATTTTCTTGAATATCTTTATTTACCAGAGAAATCTTCATTGAACACACAGCACGGACTTAGAAGAGTTTCCTAAGAAGTGGACAGGTTTTTGCTTTCTCTTTGATTATTCATAGAAGGTGAATGGGTCATTTTTCTAGGCCTGAAGGCCTGTGTTGATGAGACATAAAAATATAGAGAAATGAGAATAACTCATGTCAAGGAGGCATATATTGTATCAGAAACTTTCTTGAATGGGAAGCGTTCAGCAAGAGAGACCCACACTTGGTTTTCCCCATTCTGGACACCAGACTCTTGCCTACAACTATCAGGCAGAAATATATAACCCGTGGAAGAAACATTTCACCCAGAACTCCATGAGGACAACCTGGAAATTTACTAAGAATCATAAATGTATAAATTTTAGTGTAAAGGCAAAGCATGATGTTATACAATAATTATAACATTAATATTTGAAAAGCACCTACACACCACACACTGTTCTAAGTGCTTTCTCTTTATTTAACTCATTTAATCTTACCAACAAGCCCATAAAAAAACGTTTTATTTTCCCCATTTTCAGATGTACCCATGAGTCACAGAGAAGATAATTAACATAAGAACATATAACTTGTAAATGGGTTCCTGACTTTACAAAACTTGTGCTTTTAACCACTGTGGATTGTGTAGAATAATGCACTGCCTTTCATTTCCTACAGTAATTTTTATTATTTTCTCTCTGAAGAATTGATGAAGATCCTTTGCCAGGTGTGACTAAGAAAATGGTCTTTGTTTTGGGCCCATTTTGGTTTATGTTGTTCTGTTGTTACATTGTTAGTCAAGTTCTGGTGACAAGTCCCCTTCTGGGTGTCACATTGCCACCTCCATTGTCTGTATTAAGTGAGGCCACATGTGTTGGCTTAGCTAAACTGGAACTGTGTTTTCCAGAATTTTGTCCCTGATGTAGTTTTGGTTTCTGATGGACCACAACAGATTTGAGAAGGTAAAGACGAAGCAATGGTCATTATTCCCTGAAGGTCAGTGTAAGGCGCTGGGCAACACTGGGAGCGCGTGCATTGCCACTGTTAGGGTGGCTTGGGACAGGAGATCCCGGGCCTGCAGACTCTTCAGCTCCTGCCTGCTCTCCTTCAGCTTCAAGTTCTGGGCCACATGCAGCTCCATGAGAAAAGATGCTGGCTTCTACAGGTTACCCACATCGTCAAAACTGAAAATGGTAAGAGATGCTTTCTACTTTGTTCTGTGGCTTCCAGTTTGTCCTCGGTCTCTTCCACTTCAAGTTCAGTGTCTCTTTCTTCTAGCCCTAATACCCGTAGTGACCTCAGGCTCATCACCGTGTGCAGAGACAACAGCTTCCCATGCAGCACCTCGCCAGCTCCCACATTGTCTAAGGTCTCGTCCTTGTGGTAAATTCCTAATTCTGTATCACATAGGGTGGTTCTGCTTTCCCAATTGAACTCTAATGGACAAACTCATTTCTACTGTGATAACCAACTAACAGAACCAGCGGCTTAACATAACAAAGGATTATTTGGAGCTCAGATTGTAAGTCCAAGGTGAGTCAGCAAGGTGGGTGATTGGGGTGGCTCTGCCCTGTGTAATCACCCACAGCTCACACTTCCCTTTATCAAATACCCGGATGCTTTCCTCTTGCCTGCAGTGGACCCTAATGGTACCCCACCCTGATCTCTTCCTTTAGGCAGATGCACACATCCCCAGCTGCTGAAGGTGTTGGCCAATGGCTCACAGCTTCTCCGTCTTCTAGAAAGTTGCCCTTGGCCAAAAGCAAGCCTCTTCAGAGAGAAGGTGATACCTCTATCTCTGGGGAGTGGACCTCAGCCAATGATTGAATGACAAAGGGTTCCGAAGGCCATCTCTCTTGCCTTAGTGTGGGACTAATTGTAGTGCTCCAGAAGTATCCCCTAGTATTGGACCGAATCGATTCTATACCTAACACTACTCATTTCCTTGGATTTCCCCATGCTCTATCTTCTTTCCCTAAAATCCTTTATCCTAAGAATATACCCCCAACAAATCACTTGAACAAGAATCTTAGACTCCTACGAAACCTGATCTAAAACATTCCCACACACAGAACATATTCCATCATTCTCCCAGGGAGCCACTGAAGTCCCATCTAATCAACGAATCTGGCTCATAGTCCTGCATCTCTGGGTGACGCATGGTATCTACGTCTGGACCAGCCCTGGTTCTACTTGGTCTGAAAGACTAACAAAAACGACAAATTATCCAGCTTACCTTCCAACATACACCTAATGTGTAATGGCAAAAATCAACACTCCTATTTGGAAAGGGGCAAAAGGGAGACACACAGAAGTCGCTGAAATGTGGCAATTTAAAAACTCTGCTTTGCAGATGATTGGAGGCCCTATGCTGAGAGCGAAGAACATTCTGGATCAGGCCCTGGTTTTCTCTCTTGCGGTAATGCCACTGTCCACTGTTCTTTATGGTCCCTGGACCTGCTCTTTGGAGGTTTTTCCTTGCCGTATCTTTAAGATATATATATATATGCCCTCTTTAAGTCTGTATAGCTCTCTCAGTTGCCCTTAGAAGATCACGGATTAAAATTAAAATTAGAAGATTGGTTTTAAGTCTTAACTACTCAAAGGCTTGTTTTGTTTGGTATTGCCCAGGCTTGTGGCTTCCTGAGCAGAATAAGACTCTCACAAACTGAATTGACTTGTTGCTTCTGGGTGGCTCAGTCGGTTGAGCCTCCGACTCTTAGTTTTGGCTCAGATCATGATTTCAGAGTCGTGAGATCAAGCCCCGTGTCGGGCTCCATGCTCAGTGGGGAGTCTGCTTGAGAGTCTCTCTCTCTCTCTCTCTCTCTCTCTCTACCTCTGCCCCTCCCCCCCACTCTCCCTTTCTCTCAAATAAACAAATAAAATCTTTGAAAAAACCTTAATAGATTTAACAGTAGGTAAATAGAAAAATAAAATGTGGTATATCCATATAATCAGATATTATTAAAAAGAATGAAGTGGTCTCACATGCTACAGTGCAGATGAACCTTTAAAACATTATGCTAAGTGATAGAAGTCAGATACAAAAGATCACAGATTCATGGTTCCTAAGGGCTAGGAGGAGGCAGAGTGGGGAGTAACTGCTAATTGGCGTGATGTTTCTTTTTGGAGTGATGAAAAAGTTATGGAATTAGATCATTGTGATAGTTATACAACTTTGTGAATATACTAAACATTACTGAATTATATACTTAAAAAGTAAACTTAGTAAAAACTTATTAGATTTCTTAACATATGATTGTAATTACTTCTGTCTTGCAATCACACCCACAGTTCTTCTGGAGACATAATTAACAGATCTGGCACATTTTTTTGCTGTTTTCTAACTTCCCCATCTTTAGATTTCTCTTGATTGCATGTTAAGGGATTAGAGGACAGAGAAGGCCAAACTCTTAATCAGATCTTTTCCCTAAGTAATTTTACATAAGCGAGAGATTTTATTGAGGGCCACACCCTTAATCATAGCACTTTTCAAAACATTGCTTTACTGCAGTGTAATTGAAATAAACTGCATATATTTAAAATGTACAATGTGACAAGTTTTGACATATGTGAGTATACGTGTATTTACATCCATACTCAATGTAATGAACCCATTCTTCCCTAAAGCTTCCTTATGCCCGTTTGTGACCTCTCCTTGCCACCCTACTCCCATCTACTCCCCCAGTCAATCACTGATAGGTTTTCTGTTACTATAGATTAGTTTGCATCTTCTAATATTTGTGTAAATGGAATAATGCAGTGTGTACTCTTTTTTGTCCAACTGAATTCACTCAGCATGATTATTCTGAGTGAAATGGCTGGGTCTTATGGCAGGTGTATGGTTAACTTTTTAAGAAACCGCTAAACTCTTTTCCAAAGTGGTGATAACATGTTACATTTCTACCGGCAATGAATGAGAGTTTCAGTCTCTCCACATCTGTGCCAACACTTGGTATATATGGCAGTGTTTTAAATTTGAGTCATTCTGAAAAGTATTTTCATTTTGGTTTAATTTTTTTAAAGATTTCATTTATTTATTTGAGTACAGTGAGCGAGCGTACTCGAGTCGATGGGGGGTGGGGGGGACAGGCAGAGGGAGAGAGAGAATACCAAGCAGACTCTGTGCTGGGCGTGGGGCCTGACACAGGGCTTGATTTCACAACCCTGAGATCACAACCTGAGCTGAAAGCAAAAGTCAGATGCTTAATCTGACCCACCCAGGCGCCCCTCATTTTCATTTTAATTTGAAACCATATATCTACTTTGATGAACTCTTTTTTATGAATTCGAGGGATTGTTTATTTTCTTAATATTGAGTTTTGAGAGCTCCTTTTATATGTTGAATATGTGATGTTTTCTCTCCATCTGGGGCTTGTCTTTTAATTTTTCTAATGCTGTCTTTTAAAGAGCAAAAGCTTTCAATATTGGTGAAATTCTATTTAACAACATTTTTCTTTTTTTATGAGTTGTGCTTTTGGTGTTATATCTAAGAAATGTTTGCCCACCTCAAGCTCACAAAGATTTTTCCCCTGTTTTCTTCTAGATATTTTGTAATTTTATGTTTTACATTCAGGACTACAATTCTTTTTGAATTAATGTTTGTCTTTGGTATGAGGTATGGGTTAAAGTTCTTTTTTTATTGACATATGAATGTTTCATTGTTCCAGCACCATTTGTCAAGAAGACGATCCTTTCTCCACTGCATTGCCTTTGCACCTCTGTCAGAAATCAATTGACCTTATATGTGCAGGCCTATTTCTAGACTTCCTCTCTATTCCATTGATCTGTCTGTCTACCTTTGTGTCAATACCACATTATCTTCATTAATGTAGATGTTTAAAACATCTTGAAGTCAAGGAGTGTTAGTTCTTTAAATTTGTTCTTTTTCAAAGTTGTTTTTGCTTGTCTAGGTTCTTTGCCTTCCATATTCATTTTAGAATCAGACTGTTAATTTTTATTTTAAAAGTCTACTGAGATTAGGATTTAGACTGAGTTTAATGTATAGATCAGTTTGGCTTCTGATCCATGAACTTTAATTTCTCTCTGTCAACAATATTATGTTGTCTTGGTATTTAGACCTTACACAGCTTTTGTGAGACTTATCCCCAAATCTTTCATATTTTTAATGCTATGGCAAATGGTACTGTATTTAAAATTTCAATTGTTTATCTAGTATATAGTACAGAGAACTTATTAGTTCTAATAGCTTTTTATGAATTCCATTTGATTTTCTATGTAGATAATCATTTAATCTTTGAGTACAAAATTTTGCTTTTTTCTTCCTGGTCTGAATATTTTATTCCCTTTTCTTGCCTGATTGCACTGGCTAGCTCTTTAAATGCAATATTGAATATTCAGTTAAATGGCAAGAGTGGACACCATGATCTTAGGGGGAAAACATTCAGTCATGTACCACCAAGTATGATATTAGCTACAGTTCCTTTGTAAATGCTCTTTATTAGTTTGAAGAAGTTTCCTTCTAGTCTCAGTTTGCTGAATTTTTTTAAACTGGGAATGGATGTTGAATTTTGTCAAATGCTTTTTCTGCATGTGTTGAGATTATCATATAGTTTTTCTTTTATGGTCTCTTAATGTGGTGAAAACAGTCATTGAATTGTGAATGTTAAAACTAATTTCTATTCCTAGGATAAATTCCATTTGGTCATGATATATTGTACTTTTTATATTATACAGTGTTCAGTTTGCTAAATTTTAAAGAAATTTTACAACTATATTCATAAGGGAAATTATTCCATAGTTTTTTTCTTTCTTTTTTCTTTTCTTTCTTTTTTTTTTTTCTTTTTTTTTTTTGTGATAGCTTTGGTTTCACTGTCAGAGTAGTGTTGGCCTCATAGAATGAATTGGGGCATATTTTTTCCTCTTCAATTTTCTCTGTGTTTATGGGAATTGGTATTATTTCTTCCTTAAATGTTAGTTAGAGTTTAGCAATAATGTCAGTTGGGCCTGGAATTTTCTTTGTGGGAAGATTTTTAACTATACTTGTTGGCTCTTAAGTGCTAAAGCCTAGGATTGATGGATCACATTTCTCATAGCCAGAATCAGTCCCATGGTTCCACCTAATTGCAAGAAGGCTAGGAAATATAGGGGAGAACATAGATATTTGGTAGTCAATAAATGTCTGTGTCATAAACTTTCAGAAAGTTTACAGAAAATTATGTCTACATTGAGT